ATGGGCCATTTTAGTGTTGAAGTAGAATTATCCAAACATAGATAGATGACTCTCATTATCAACCATCAAGACCATGTGGCAGCTGTCTTCTGGGGGCCTCAGAGATGTGCCCTATGACTGTCGGAGAATCAAAATTCAATAAGTCATCTTCATCTGTTTTCACAGTACAGAAATGGAATGGGGGGAATCGGTAAAATGTAGAAATCATAGACATTTCAAAATGCTTATTTGTAAGAGAAACAGTTAAAAGAACCCCTTGAAGTATATTCTACCCACACATCTGCCCATGTTTCAAAGTGGTGATCCCAAGCACTATTTTAAGCAAATCCAGGTAACCTATAAAAAACTGAGTTTGCTATTGACATTAGTACCAGGAATTTATGACTTAGAATCATTGTCACAGGACTGCCTGTTCCCACCCTGCACTCTATGCCAACTTTGTCCATTCTTAAATTGAACTCTCTGATCCTGAAACATATCTTATGCCCCAAAGTTAAATATCTCTACTCTGTTTCTTTCCATATCTTTTTTGCATTTTATTTTGCTTGAACTTGCCCCAACCTTTTTTTTAAGAGAATGAGGTGTTTTAAGAATACGTTTTTCACACCCAATTCTTTTCGAATGAGAGGTGGCAATTTGTGAACTGAAGAGGAGAGAATCATTAAGGGAGGCACACAGGAAGGTCAGGAGCTGAGATAAGCCCCGGGTGAACTGGGGTCTTAAAGTGATGGAGACACACAGTGACCTCCTCTGGGTGTCGTGTTTAAAGTGTGCTCAGCTCAATGTGGTCCAACTGGTGACTTCTTCACTGACCTTTTTTATGCCATGAGGATGGAAGTCCATAGGACTGGGGTCTTCCAGAATATAGTCTATTATCCTCAAGAGGTTCCACTCATCACATGCCCTTTGGGGTTTCTAAGGGCTATGTCTGTCAGATAGATGATGCCCTGGCCTCTTTCTCTGACCACCTTGGTTCTTTCAATGACTCCCTTCCTTCCCAGCACTCAGCTGGGGAGGCTGGTCAAGGCCTAGTGAATTCTTACAAAGTCCTAATTATCAGAACATGCTCCTTTACCCTCCGCTCCCGCTGAAGTAATCCCCTGTGCTCTCTCATCCTTGTTTCTTTGATTAAAGAAGCACTTGAGCTTTCTGTGCTTTTCTCTACACATTTCCATGTCACACCCCCCTGCTGACATTCTGCTTCCCCATCAGGCTTGGGACATGCCTGCAGGAAGGTGGCAGCCTTCCCTCTCAAGGCCACTGTGTTTTCATTTGGGGGATTTGCATAAACACACTGTTTGTTATCTCCGTTGTTCCCTTTTCTTTCATAATTGACTGAATTGCATGCTTTCTTCTTGCCAGGTGGGCAGAAATCAGCAGCGGATCAGGATTTTCGATTGGAACAATTTCCCCTTGGCTCTGTTCTTTACAGCGGAGTAGTTTCCTCTAGTGAGACTCACTCCTTGGGGCGGCCTCTTGCTTTAAGAAGAATTTTTTTTTTTATATCTTATATTAGTCTTGAAAGAATTCAAAAGGCAGCACTCCACCCTCTACACTGTGTGTCATTTTCCATCCCAGTCTTTATTACAGGGTCATTATCATGACAGTGTATCCATTAATCCCATCAAGGACACTCAGCCCAGTGTTCTGGAAGGGCTTGGTGGAGGTGCCTCATAGAGACAGGCCTTGGTTTCCTGTGTTAGTCTTCCCTTTGATGCTGTTGTTGCCAACTCCTAGGTTTCTATGTCCTGGTCCTCTCGCCCCTGGGAATGGTTCTTTGAAGCCTTTCCTGCTGTTCTTTGCTCCTTGGAACTCTCCTGACCTGTTGCATTTGGAAACAAAACAAGCTTTGCTCCTCCAGCTATTCTACCTTTCTCACTACCCAAGTAGTTACAATTATTCATACTTACTTTCCAAATTTTCTGCTAACTTGGATCTTTCTTCTTGTTTTTTTTTTCATTGTTTATCTCTTTGGGGGGGTGGGCCACCACCCAGCTCCCAAATAATCCACGGTGACTTATTATTACTTATAAGTGCCCAGTCTTAACTTGGCTTTTTTTCTAGCCAGCTTTTCTTAACTTAAATTATCCTGTCTACCTTTTGCCTCTGGGCGTTTATCTTTCTCTACTCTATATACCTTTCTTTACTTCTTACTCCATGGCTTACTGTGTAGATGGGTGGCTCGCCTCTGATGGCCTCCTCTCCTTCTCCTTTTCTCACTCCTCCATCTCTCTTTTTCTTCTTCTATTTATTCTCTCTACATACCAGCTCCACCTATTTCTCTCTCCTGCCGTTCAGCTCTTTGTTAGACCACTCAGCTCTTTTCAACAGGCAAAGTAACACAGCTTCTCAGAGTTAAACAAATGCAACATAAAAGAATGCAACACATCTTTGCATCATTAAACAAATGTTCCATAGCATAAACATTCCACAATGTTTTTTTTTTTTTCTCAGTTTTCTCAGACAGTCGTGATGTGCTGTTTTTATTGTCAGCAATGGAACAAAGGGAATCATGTATATTTGATAGCTCACTTCTCTTACAGAGCAAATTCATGGGAGTGAACAATTTGCATTGTATGAGCCAGGCTATGCAGTAGACTGGATGATGCAAACTCACACTATTACTGAAAGTGAAGTTCATGTGACCAGAGAACAGGATTGCTATACTATTGAATCTATTTTGTCAGGGTTTCTATGTGATTCAAATCATCATGGTATTCTGCTACTCTATGGGGAGTGCACCATAGCATCCAGGCACCATGCTAGTCCCATGAGGAGATCCTGTTGATGTGCTGTGATGATGTATTGTGTACCCCAATAAAGCTTACCCGGGGATCAGAGGACAGAGCCAGCCACTAAATTAGACGTAGATGTCAGTGGTGGTGCACACCTTTAATTCTCTTGCTTGGGAGGCAGAGATCTGTCTGGATCTCTGTGAGTTCAAGGCCACATTGGGCTACATGAGAGAAACAGAACCAGGCAGTGGTGGCACATGCCTTTAATCCTAGGAAGTAATATGGCAGGACACAGGAAGGTTTATAAGGCATGAAGAAACAGGAATTTGCTCTCTTGAGGCTGAAGATTTTGTAGAGGTAAGCTAGTGGTTGGCTGTTCTGCTTCCCTGATCTTTCAGCTTTCACCCCAGTATCTGGCTCTGGGTTTTTTATTATAAGACCTTTTAAGATTTGTGTTACGGTGTGACACATTCCACCTTTGTCCTTTCACAGATCACCATGGTCCAGGCACTGGGGGGAAAGAGCTCAGTTAAAGAGTGGTCACTCCTCCACTCACTCTGTCCTTCTTCCAGTGGATTCTTGAGTAGTCCTTTGACAACAAACACGAGGCCAACTCACATTCAGCGTACCGTACACACTCACTACCCTGGCCTGTATGGCATCTTTCTGGCACCACATTGTATGTCACATCTCCTGTGGAATTCCCAGCCTTCCCTAGGTGCCCTGCCCAGGTATTGTCCGTTTGCCTGGCCTGGGTAGTCTGTGTCCTTCTTTGGTTAGTGCAATTCTGCATGCATCCTACATGTACCTCCACCTGGTAACCCCAACAAATCATATTCTTCCATTAAATTTCCTCTCTAGGAAATCTTCCTACACCCTTGCCTTCTCTTCGCTTTTAGAGCAGTAGAGACGGTGTTTCCTCATTATAGCATATGGACAGCTATGCAGTAATGTTATCATTACAGCATGTGGACAGCTATGCAGTAAATGTCCTGGTTTTCCTCTTTAAATTGTAACTTCTGACAAAAAGGGTATCAAATCAGTGAGTGTTTAAATGAAGGGTCTATCACATGACCCTGCTTATTGACAACACCATCTTATATTCTCAAATTGAAACAATATTCTATCTTGTTTCCTTATTCCTCTAACTCTGTTAAGTTACCACTTGCTCAAACATCCATCACTGATGTGGGGCTATGTGATCTTTGCTATAAAAGCTCTGAGGTAAAGATACATGTACCTGTGGGTCATTCCTCAGCCCAGGGTTCATTCTCAAATGTTCTGAGAAACACTTCCTTGCTAGTTATATGTTTACTTGTTAAGAAGTTAAAGGTGTATATAGATATTTGCTATGTATTTAATGTTTTAATATATATTAGTTATACAAAAAATGGGTTTCATTATAACACTTCCATGCATAAATATAATACAATTTGATTAGTCTGAGGCATAGCAATCACCTTGTTCCAATTTGTAGTTTCCATATTCAACCTTCTTAGTGAGAAAATGTTACTACAACATGTTTATAAAGGTCTGTGTGCTTTCTTTTCTTTTAAATTATTTCTTTTATTTTTTGAGATGATAATTACGTCATTTCTCCTTTCCTTTGCTCCCTCCAAACTTTCACATATACCCTTCCTTTCTTTCTTTCAAATGTATGCCCAGTTTTTAATTAATTCATGATACTTGTGTGTGTGTTTGTGACTATGTGCATGTATGAGTATATTCCTAAATACATAAATACAACCTGCTGAGTCCATATAATGTTTCTTGTATGTATGCTTTCAGGACTGACCATTTGGTATCAGATAATCAATTGGTGTACTCTTTCCTGGGGAAAACTATTTCTCCATCTCTCAGTATTCCTTGGTTGCATAAGGTTCTTTGCATAGGGTTGAGGCCTCATGAGCTTTCTAAGACAGCTAGTGCTTTCATGAGAAGCATGGAATGGGTTAATTTTATTTATTTTCCTATATGTATTCAAGAAAACTTAAAGTTTGTAGCACAATTCAAAATTAATTCATGTTTGTCAGAAAAAAAGATGTATTTAGAAGGTATAATTCAATGCACACTTACCTTAGAAAATACTATTCATTGAACAAGTGTCTGGGTATAGGTATAAGGTCAATGGTTTCATTGCTACCTTTGGTCAACACTAGAAAAAGACTGCTTTTTTTCTTTTCCTGCCAGACATAGTATATCCATGCTACCATCCCTCTTGCCTTTAGGACTTCTCAATGTGTTCCTTATGTTTTTGATTTTCAGGAGGAATGTCAGAACTATATCAGAGTGCTCTTAGTGGGTGGGGACCGGCTATTCACCTGCGGGACCAATGCTTTCACACCTGTCTGTACCATCCGCTCGGTATGTTTCCACCCTAAGCTTCAACAAACTTACACCAGGAGCAGCAAGACCTGATGCCTTCAAGGCCCCATGTAAATGTGTTCCTGTATACAAAGGCCAAGTGCCTTTTGCAACATGGTAGCATTCAGTAAATACTTGACTTGTTCACTTCTAATCAGCTATAACAGTCATATATATGAAGAAACAGAAATTAATTGTATATTACATACTATTTTCCCTATGAGTGGCCTTAAGCACTAATCATAAACATATACTTCTTTCCTATTTTCATTGTAGTAGGAATATTATCAGTTACAAAAGTACTCCAAAATCACAATTCATATAGGAAGAAAATATATATAAACTGGATAGGAGGTATGCCAAACATAAAATAAAGAAACACATGCATAAACAAAGTAAAGGTATAACTGTTATTACAGACAGGGAGTTTCATCTTACAAGTCCCACTGTAGAAGCATGGCAGGGTCATTAGACATGCATGCTATCTTCTTAATTCAGGATATTAATTTAATCTTCCTTGAGAAATATAACTAGGAAACACCATTATGTTAATTTATGGATAGTAAAACAACTTCTCTTAAAACCTTAACTTATCATCTAGGCTTGCTGTTCATTATTTTAAAATTTATGTTCAGTTATTGGACAGAAGGAGAAGGAGGAGGAGGATGGTAAGTGCTGACCAAAAACAGTTCCCTATTTCCCATATGTAGCTGTCAGCATGAGACCCCATTGTAAACACCTCATCCTCAACATCTACACCAAGAGGCTGCTACTGTGTGGGGGTAGTTTTTAAAAGGGAAGACCCTGAGACGTAAAAACTTTATGTAACTTACCTAGGACCATGTTTCCAACATCAGAGGACAAGAGTGAGCTTGCTATTCCTGCATAAGCCATCTTAACTATTTTTTTAACTCAGTTAAAAGTCAAGAACCAAATTGACATTGAGCCTTGTCAAATATCAAAATACCAAATAAACGAAGAACAACAACTTTTCTCATGTTTTATTAGTTGGCAACCAGTATTTGACAAGCCAAGCTGACACTTGACATACATGCAGCTTTCTCAAGACTAAAAAAGGGAAAAGAAGAAAAAAAAAGAAATATGTAGTACATGGTACAGAACATTGACATATGGTTATCACTAAATAGTATTTAGGGCTAGCTATAAAAAAAATTGTCAGACTAATACCGTGAAGATAGTTCCTTATTATGATTCACATATCTATAAATATTAGAGTTAGATTCTTTATTAAGGTAGAATACAGTGAAAACACATCCTACATCAAAGCCATATATATATATATAATACTCTTGCTTCATATTCTATCACTAGCATGAAGTTCTGTAACTACAGGGATGAAGTCACTGGCCAAGGTTGTAGAAAACTGTTTTCATAAAGACAGAATTAGAAAAACTTTGCTTCTCACACACCCCAGAGTGTACTTGGGACACACTTGTCTAGCAGTAGTATAAGGTGGAGACCCCAGAGTGTACCAGGGACACACTTGTCTAGCAGTAGTATAAGGTGGAGACCCCAGAGTGTACCTGGGACACACATATGGCAGTAGTGTAAGGTGGAGAACATGAGCACATCCAATGGGATTTCTCAAGGATAACTAATCTCCTTCTCATTTTCACCAATAGTTAAGTAACCTGACTGAGATCCATGATCAGATCAGTGGCATGGCCCGCTGTCCCTACAGTCCCCAGCATAATTCTACAGCTCTGCTCACAGCCAGTGGGGAGCTCTATGCTGCAACAGCCATGGACTTCCCAGGGCGAGATCCGGCCATATACAGAAGTCTGGGCACTTTACCTCCTCTTCGAACTGCACAGTACAACTCCAAATGGCTCAATGGTAAGTCATTCATTCACCCTAGCCTCCTGTTGCTGTGTTTATAATACCTGGCTAGTTGTTGCTTGAAAATACAGCAGAACAAAATCTTCATCTTCAAGGTATAACATATTTAGTTGTGATAATTAGCAGTATATTCTTTAGTATTAGGAGGAGTGATATTTCTAATACCATAAGCCTCAATAATAGGCCTAGATTGTCAGCTGATGCTGACAAGACCACTCATGGGTGTTAAGCTGTTTCTTCCTATGTTGTTTGAAATATAGGAAATGGAATGCTATGTCATAGACTCATGTAGGCTAATGTGTATTCTTTCTTAATGTCTACTTAATATATTTTGAACCAGAAATTTCTTGACATTTTCAGACAGTATAAAGATTCCATTTGCCACAAGTAACTCCAAATAATTGACAATTAAAAAATGTCATCTGTGTATGTATCTATCACTTTTTCGCAAGCATCTTCAGAATTTAATTCAATGCCTTGAGAGTTCATCAAAACGCAAGTCTTGTCACTTTAAATTCTGCCAACCACAGCCTTACAAATGATCATCAAAGCAGCTTTGCTCAACTCATTGATGCAGAATCATCACTATAAGTTCAGACTTATTTCCAGATGTGGAAATATCCCCTAGAAGAAGTACCACACTTGTGTCTATTTCTCTTTTAAGAAACTGGAAACTAACAGAAAGTACCAGTCAATTCAAGCAAGAAACAAATAACCTGTTAAGTAAACACCCAGAGAATGGACAGAGGCAGCTGCACAGATGTGAGTTGCTGTATGCAAGTCCTGTGTGCTAGCAAAAACCATCCCAGTGTGTGTGTGTGAGTGTGGCCACACTCACAAGGGTGGTGTCTACCACACTGTGTAACTCATCACCTCAGCATTTATTTGACAGTTTGCACAAAGGTGTAATCTTGACTTTGCTAGTACAATACTTGTCTTGCTGTTTCAAGATCTATAAGGATTTATTGGCCTTATTCCCATCACAAATTATATATGTAGATAAGAGTCCCTCTCCCTCATTGATTCTGCTTGTGTGTTCAGATAACTCTTTGTTATGGGAAAGGTATTGTCTTTGTGAAGGTTGTTTAGTGTCATTTGTGATCTCTGCCCATTAGAGCCTAGTAATTCTTCCCCTCGCTGTAAGTTATAAAACAAAAATAAATACATTATCAAATATTTCCCAGGGGAAGTTGTCTCCTTTTGAGAACTATTGGCTTTTACCTAGGAATATTTAACATCCATCTGTCTGTGTGTATCTATGTATCTATTATCTACCAGTCATCTATCCATCCATCATCTTTCCATCATCCGTCATCTGCCTGCCATTTATCTCTCACAAGTAATTGCTGAATAATACAGTCAAGCTGGGCATCATGGTTTGTCTTTAGAACACCCTCATAGGAAGGCTGTGCCACCATCACTGTGCATCTAGTAGCTTGGCTGACTCAATTGTTCCAAAGGGCAACGTGAATGGTTTTCTGAACTGAGGCAGTAACTAGACTTCCCTTGTTAACACCTCTTCTTTTAACTCATTTCAACTTGACCTACCTACTCCTTGTGGACAGTCCTCTATTGTCCTTGAAGCCTTTATTGGGGTATCTTAAGTTGCTTTCCTATGTATGGGCAATTTTCACTAGCTGAACAATGTGTAGCATTGAAAATCAACTAACTTTCTTGTACTGGCCAGCCACTTTGATTTGAGTCTTTCTTCAAATATCCCCTTCTCCGTGGAACGTCATCCTGATCATGTAATTTAGAATTGCATCCTTTGCTCTCTAGCCCTCATGCCTCTTTACTATGTCCAGTTTTGACCCTTTGCCATTATGATATTTTACCATTTTTCTCCCATCTTTCAACAAAAGCAGCATTCACCAATCATTGGAGTTAAAATCTCTCTTGTGTACTGGTTTATTTTATACTTTCAGAGGTATGTAATAAGTGTTTGGTTGATGATATTTGGATAAATGAATTAATGGATGACATATTCTATGTTCGAGAAATCACAGATTAAAATCTTATTCCTCTTCTTTCCATGTGAAATGTCTGGAAGATGACTGAGTCCTGAAGGTGGGGCCCTCATAAAGGTATTAGTGCCCTCTTAAAAGAGGCTACAATGCAGAGAGCTGCTTCTTCCATCATGTGAGATATGTGAACTTGGAAGTAAGCCTTCATCCATATGAAGTATGCTGGTACCTTGACTGGTAGTGTTTAGATCCAGACATTTGGGAAACAAATTTCTGTTCTTTATAATAAACCCCTTGGTGTTTTTGCCATAGCAACATGAACAGAGTGGAAAAATAAATAAAAAGGATAATTGACTCTTTTGTTTCCCTCATTAGTTTGTGAATTTCTTGAGGGCAAGGGTTAGGTAGGAGTCATCTTTGTGGGCTTGATTTCTTAGGCTTAGTCAGTGCTTGTTAAATGAGTAGGAGATAAGAACATTTCATAAATAGATAGTGTTATTACATGAGGCAAAATACTGCAGTTTGCAACCTAGAATCATAAAGAAAACAAAAACTCAAAATGAAACAACAACAACCAAAACAAGAATAGTCTGTTTCAAAGTGACTCAGGTGCAAACATTTGAAGATGTTCCTCTTCACCCCTTCCCACCTGCCCCAACTGCAGTCGTTACATACTCGTTTATCAAAGCCAGCGTCATTGACTAAATGACAATATGCAGGCACCTGGAACATTAAATTGTGAGTTTGATAGTGAATGTAATTTTCAAAACCAGATTTGTTCCCTCTGTGCCAAAATTACTCTTAAAACAAATTTATGTGTTTAGAGACATTTCTTAACAGCTTTAATACATTAAAATATTAATCATTACTAACCCTTATTAAATGATTACTGTAAGGCAGGGCAATAAATGTTTAATAGCCAAAGCCTAAAATAGAAGCTATAAAACTTGCCTTCATGAAAGTGACTGTCAAGTTGGGGAAACAGTAAACCTATGAAAAAGAAGAGGAGAGAGTATGTCTAAAGGAATACCATGCAGTTGTGTTTATAAACTCAGGCGATTATATGTTTGCTACCTCTGAGTGGGCTTTGAAAAGTCACCATGATGCTAGTGTGGATGTTAGTATATTAACACTCAGGGACTTGCTAGTTTTCCCCCTCTGAAGAACCATTTGCCTGCCCCACTTGCTGGACATGCAAATTCCTGAGCTTCTCCACCTGATTACCTCCAGAGGACTCAATTGAGATCCACAAACATCTTCATGGTGAAAGTATCATGTTCTGTGAGGCGTCATATTTCTAGTCCAGAAAACATTTTGAGTGTCTGTCTTGAACCCTCCTGGTTTGGTGTAGATCTATGATGCTCCCCATTGTGATTTATCTGTGATGCTCACTGAGACTTTGGTAGACCCATTGGAGGCGTTAAAAATAGTAATTGAATTTTAATAATTAGAGATAATTTTCTTGGAGGAAGAAGATCTCTGTACATATGTCAAGGAGCAATAGTTTCTGCCTACCCCTGTAAAGGATTGGTTCCTGCCCTGTAAAGTCTGTGCTAGCTCCTGGTAGCCAGTGTGGCTAGACTGGGCTCTATTCTGCAAACAATGAGGGTCTGCCTTGTAGTGTCTATACAGGGAAGTGTTCCAATGAGGAAAATACCTTGGCCTTCTAGGTTGACATCACTAGCTGCAGCTAACAAATTCCAAATAAAAGCAGAGTATAGAAACCAAGGAACACGAGACAAAGAGGATTTGGTGGGTAAAATTAAATGAAAAACCCAAGTTATTGTCAAGAGAAAGAAAAACACTGTAAGACAAGAATAAAAACAGATTCCATAGTCACCTATATAGTTGTTAATATATGCCTAGGGCAATGTTTAAAATGGACCTTGCTGTGTGCTGAGCTCTCTCTTTAGCCATATGGTTCCTGAAACTTAAACTGGGTAGGGCACCATGACAGGGTCTCAACATGTATCACATATGTGACACACAACAGTACAATGATTTTTTTCTAATGTTCATGCCTAATCTTGTTCATCAGAATGATGTATCAAGATGAATGTGCTATGCAGAGTCCATTTATTTTGGAAATCCTTGCAAATTATATATGATTATCCTTATAATGTACAAAAAATATCTCAATAAATACTCTTTCTGCATAATCTGCGGGTTGGTGCTCCTGCTGCAGACTTGTTACCATACAAGGTACATGATAAAAATCCCAAAGGCTGGGTAGAACACTCCAGTTAGAAAGGCCATCCCACATCTATTTCATCAGCAGTCTTCTGCAAAGGAGATCCTGTCCCCCAATGTCCAGATGACACCTGAACCACACCCAATGACAACCTAGGATTTGAAAACAGATCCCACCTAATATCCTGTACCCCATACCTACCACATCAAACCAACCTCCTTTATGTTTAGACTACACATTAGGAAATACTAGCATCATATGTGGGCTCCTCCTTTCCAGTGATACATATATCTCCATGCAAAACTGCCATGAAAGAGGGCCATATGTACTTTGAGAAAAGGTTGAGAATTTTCTTCATTGCTGAATCATTGCAAAAAAAAAAAAAAAGATATAATGAACTGAAATTACCCAACCAAAGAAGACAAGCTGGCAGGATAATTTAACACAGCCCTTTATGGGATGTAAGAAATCAATTTGATACTGCTTTTTGAAAATAATATGACATTAACTGAGCACTGAGTGTCTGAAAGCTGAGGAGCCTCAGAGTCCTTGCCTGTCTCGGGAGTTTCTGTACTTGCCAACAAGTCACTTAGAACCTGTGGGTTTTGATTTGCACATCTCAAAGGGGAACGGGTGATATATTTCAGTAAAGGCACAAACAGTGTGTGCTGATTTACATGGAGCTCCACATTAAAATCCGCACTGAAAGAAAGAGAGCTCTCTCCAGAGGAAAAAATGTAGACATTTACTAGCACTGATGTGAATTAGAGAAATGTTACATGCTCATTGTCTTTCAATCTAGCAGCTTCCTTGTGAGAGTCTCCCATTCCTCCCCTGCTGGT